CCATACCCGGCCGCCGCCGCCGGGCCGCTGGGTGCCGCGCCCGACCGCTTCCCGGCCGACCTGGACCTCGACATGTTCAGCGGGAGCCTCGAGTGCGACGTCGAGTCCATCATCCTCAACGACTTCATGGACAGCGACGAAATGGACTTCAACTTCGACTCGGCCCTGCCTCCGCCGCCGCCCGGACTAGCCGGGGCCCCGCCCCCCAACCAGAGCTGGGTGCCGGGCTGAAGGCCTCCTCCGGCACCCCAGGTGCCCCTGTCCCGTCCCCCAGGGGCCTCTGTCTTCCTGTCCCGATCCCCGGGTCCCCATTCCCGATTCCAGCTCCACGAGAGGGTCCAGGAGGCAGCCCCAGCCCTGCTACAGACATCCCTCAGGCGCTGACCGCTGAGGGAAGGAGGAGGGAGGGGCTGGGGCACCCCACCATTCCTGCCTAAACTCCTGAGACCCGCTGCCTCTCTCCCTGGGGCAGGAAGCCTGGGAGACGAGGCAGAATTCCGGGCTTGGTGGGAGTGAGCGGGAGCGAGGTGGGCCGCCTGGTGTGGATGCTGGTCGGGGAAGCCATTGAGGAGATGGCTTCGGTTTACCTTGTGGAGCCCTCGCCGTGATGCACAGTTTGTCCCAAACTCCTATCAGACTCCCAAATGACACTCCCACTGGTCTTAGCCTCACTCACCCCAAGCCAGCAACGCTCTCCTGAAAACCCACTCACACCTACCTACTGGCCATTCACTCTGAGCAGTCCACTTGCAGCCTAACCCACCCTCCGACGACCCCTTCCCCCACGGTGCAGCCCCTCTCCCCCGTCCTTGCCGGCCCTAGCTTCTCCCCTCCCCCCTCGGGGTCAACCCCTCTTTACTGGTCTCAGCCTCTCCAGCGGGCCTCAGCTCCGGATTCACCCCCAGTCCGACACCCCTCTCTCGAGCCAGTCCTGGTCCCTGTCTCCCATATTTATAAGTGTCCGGTCGGGGCGGGCGGTGGGCGCGGCGTCCCCGGCGCGTATCGTAGGCAGTGTACCGTGGCCGTGCCGTCAGCGTGTGCGTGTGCGTGTGTGCCGTGTCAAGGCCGTGTAGAGTGCATTGTACAGCATATTTTCATGAATAAAATTGTTTTAAATATTTCCCGCGCCTTGGGCTAGCAGGAGGGGCGCGGCGGCGGGGGTAATTGGCAGGGATCTTGTGGTGGTGGCCGGGGGTGTTCCTGAGTCGCTATTCTGGCTTTGTGTCTGGTGTGTGTCAGCACTGGCTGATGCTGGTCTGCTCAGCACACGTTGGTTAAGCACCTATTGAATTCCAGACGCTGGAGATGTGCCTAGTGGACTCTGCACCTGTTTCTGTGAACATGTGCATGCAGGAAGTTTTGGGCCTGGGGAAATTCTGCCTGAATAGGCCTCAGAGATTGGGAGAGGAGGCACAGATATTTACTGAGAACCTGTTAGTGCCAGGCCCTGTAGTGGGCACAATTTTTGTTCCCATTATACAGATGAGAAAATGAGGAACAGATGGTAAAACAAGAGAGGGAAAATGCCTTGGGAAGGTGGGGTGGGGATGGTGGAAAGAGAAGCCTTTGAAGACATCTAGACTGCTATTGGAATTTATTCCCTACCATTTACCAGCTTTGTGAACTTGGGCAAATTTTCAACCTCTGTACCCTTGTTTTCCTGGTCTAGACCGTAGAATAGTAAGTAGCACTCATCTCATTGATTTCTCTTGACGAGTAAGTAAGAAAAGGTATGTAAAGTGCTCAGTACAATACTGCACTCATTCATTCATTCCTTCAAGGAAGGTTTAGTGAGCACCTGTTATATGCCAGTTCTTATACCAAGCATTGGGGTTGCTGATGTGCGTGTGCGGGTCTGTGTGTGTCCATGTAGTTCCATAGGCACAGTCTCTGCCCTTAAGGAACTTTGAGGCTATGCCAGTTCTTATACCAAGCATTGGGGTTGCTGATGTGCGTGTGCAGGTCTGTGTGTGTCCATGTAGTTCCATAGGCACAGTCTCTGCCCTTAAGGAACTTTGAGGCTGGTGGGGGACAGGATGAGTAATAGGCAACTATAAGATAGAGCTGCTATGAATGGAGGAGGCAGGGGACTGTTGTGGGAATGGATGATAGCGGCGGGGTGGAGGGGGGCAGCACTCATCCCGGACTCGAGGAGTCAGGGAAGGTGCTTGGAGGGGGTGCTGTCTTAGCTGAGCCTTGGACCATGAGTTGGCATTGGGAGGGAAGGGCAGAGAGAAACGGCATGTTCAAGGGCCCAGAGTCAAGAAAGCATGTGGATTCCACAACCAGAAGTAGCTGAGTGAGGCTGAGGCTCAGAGATGGAAAGATAACTGATTGCAGGGAGGCAAATGGGACAGAGCAGGGCCTGGCTGGAGGTGCTGATGGTGGCTTAAACCAGGACATGAGGGGAGGACAGTGGGTCGGGAAGGGAAAGGATGAGTTCATAACTATTTTGGATACAGAGTCATTGGGACTTGGTTGTGAATTGGACATGGGGGATGAGGGAGAAGACAGAGTTAAGCGGTGCCTGGTTTCTGGTTGGGTACCTGGGCAGACAGGGCCATTCCCTGAGATGGAGAATGTGGAGGCAGGAGGAACCCTGGGGAAAATGGTGTGCTCAGCTGAGACACATTCAGTTTGACTTACATCCTATAGGAATCCTTGGGATTGGGCGGGAGAGGGATATGCAGGAGCATATGTACTATGTGAGTGGCATTCTCTGCCATTGGGTAACATGGTGGCTTAGAGATGGCCACTTGGGTAGTGGGGTCACAGACCAGGAAGGCATCTGGGCTGGAGGGGGAGGTCAGAGAATCAGGAGCACAGAGATCATCATGGAGGTGTTGGGAGTAGCTTGCAGAGTGGGAAGAGCAGGGAACCCAGGCCTGCTCTGATGAACACCTTAGAACCTGTTGGCACAGGAAGAGGAGCCACTGGCTTAGAAGGAGCAACTGGAGGGAGAGAAGGAAAACCAGGACACTGTGGGATCCTGGAGTTTGTGAAAGGAACATGGTCCTAGATAAAAACGGCCAATGCTCTTACCTCCTGGAGCTTCATTTTCTTGGTCTGGAAGATAGGGCAGCAGCACCTGTCTCAGATTTGTTTTAAGGGAGCAAATAAGATTGGAATTATAGTCTGAGGTCACACTACCAGCAAGGGTTGGAGCCAGGGTTCCTGCTCCTGAATGCGTGTCTGTAATGCCCAGGCTCTTCTGCGGCCCCCACTGCCTCTGAGGGGGTGGCCGGGAGCAGAGGATCAAGGGAACACTGAACCAGTGGGGTCTGCACAGGTTCTGGGCTCAGAGTTGGGTGGCTGAGACCTGAATGGTGGGTTATGGTGGGTATCTCGGCCGGGTGGGGAGCACATAGAGACTGATGGTCCTTCCCCTAAGACAGATGCCCCAGCCCCACCCACAACCAGACTCTGAGGCAGCCCAGCTGGGTCTGGGCTCCATATGGGCTGCAAAGCTGTCCCCACCCTAGGCTGACGGAGGGTGGGCTGCTGATATGCGTGTGCAGGTCTGTTAGTATCCATGTAGCTTCATGTGCATCTGCCTGTGTGGGCCCGTGCATATTTGTGCGTGCATGTGTGTGTGTGTGTTAGGTGTTAGTGAGTGCGCTAGTAGGAGGGCAGGTTTGGTGATGGTTGAGGTCTCCCTGTCCGAGTGTGCACGTGGCTGAGCGTGTGTGTGTTGGGAATGACGATGTATCCATCTGAGTATGCCCACATGGCTGTGGAGTCCATGCCCGTGTGAGTTTCTCTTCCCGCCTCCACATGTGCACTGCACGCCTTCCTCTGGGTGTGCCTGCCTCTCTTGGCACATACCTCTCTCTTGGGGGGCACCAGTGCTGGTGTTCCCCTGCCAGGACCATCTTTTGGGCGGCTCTGCTGTCTGTCAGAGGGGAGGGGAGCAGAGGGACACTCCAGACCCTGGGATCCAGCCAAGCTCATGAGCAGGGAGCAATGAGACCACCTCAGAGTAATGGCTGAGCTTTGCACGGCTCAGGCCAGTGGTAATTCCAGAGACAGCTTCTGTCCTGCTGGGCCCCATCAGGGGAAAGGGGGTAACACCCCTGCAGCTGGGGGTCTGTAACTGGCCCTTCCCCGCCAGCCTTGGAGCCCAGCAGACGCGCCCCCCTCCATGCCCACTCCCTGGGAGGCGTCTGACACATGATTTATTCATAAAAAGCCATTATTTGTGCCAAAGAAGAACTGAGCTGCTGGCTTTTTAAGTGCTGATAGTGCTCTCAGCTTCCCTGCCTCTCCTCCCTCCCACCTTCTCTCTTCTCTTCTCTCACCTCCTTCAGACTTGCTATCCTTTCTCCTCCTTCCTTTCTTCCCCCTTCCTCTGCGTTCTTCCTCTCTATTCAGTTATTGTTTTCCTCATACCTCCTTTTCTCCCTATTTCTTCATTCTCCTCCCCATTTCCTCTGTACAGTTAGGGGGGTGAGGCAGGATCAGGGAAGCTCAGAGCCACCTGTCCCAGATTGGGGAAGGCCTGTCCGAGGCCTGGGGCCCTGTGGACCCCACCCCTCCACCTCAGCTTTACCTCTTCAGGACCAGGAGAAGGTTGGGAGGAGTGGGAGTACGCGGAGAAAGGAGGGGTGGGAGGTCTTTAGAGGCTGTTCTAACCAGCTCCCCCTATGCTAGAGGGTATGGCTTTAGCCCCTCCCATTGGCACCAGTCTCCCAGATTCCCAAATAAACATTCAAAGTAAAAATGGTGCACTTGCTATGCAAATGCAGGTTTAAGGCAAGCCTCCTAGGGCCATTTCCCCCCCAACCATGCCACTCATAAAGGTATTCTGGAGCCACCATAAAGGTATTCTGGAGCCACCATTATTCAGGCAGTGCCAGGAGAGGCTTAAAGGTATTCTGGAGCCACCATAAAGGTATTCTGGAGCCACCATTATTCAGGCAGTGCCAGGAGAGGCTGGCATCAAGGGAGTTCCCCCATAAAGGTATTCTGGAGCCACCATTATTCAGGCAGTGCCAGGAGAGGCTGGCATCAAGGGAGGTGCTTGGGGTCCCACCACAGAGCACCTCCTGTTTCCAGACAGGAGGCAGCAGGATGAGTATGTCCCCAGATGGAAGCCTGGACATGGACACGTGTTTCTTAGAAGCAGACATCATGAGTCCGCGCATGTGTGTGCCCTCATGCTCGCGTGTGCACACGTGTGTGCACATCCGCACACACGCAGAGGCACATGCACAGCCACACACCCACTCACACAGGTGGAGAGCCACTCCACACCCCTTTCCAAAGCGTTCCTCCCCTGAGCACCTGCAGCAGGGCCCAAACTCTTTTCCTATTAATACACCTGTTCATTCATTCATTCACTCCGTAAACTCTGCTTTTGCACCCACTCTGTACGGTGGAGAGCCACTCCACACCCCTTTCCGAAGCGTTCCTCCCCTGAGCACCTGCAGCAGGGCCCAAACTCTTTTCCTGTTAATACACCTGTTCATTCATTCATTCACTCCGTAAACTCTGCTTTTGCACCCACTCTGTACCAGCCATTGTGCTAGGTGCTGTGGTGGCAGAAATAAACATGATTGGGCCCTAGGGAGGGGGGCTAAAGCAGAGGGGACTGCAGACTCTCCCCTGCAGCCTTGGGCTGGGGGCTGGGGGCCCAGCAGGTGAGGGGTTAAGTCATTTGGCATCCAGAGCTGGAGCCATTAGGCCTCCTAATTATGAAATTATCGAGGTCCTCAGGTGACTGCTAATTTCACACACACTGTTCCTCTCACGGCTAATGAACGCCCGCAGAACCCACACCTTGTCTTTCCTGCTGAACGGTGACCTGCAGTTAATGAGCTCAGGAAGGCAGACAGGACTCCGGCTGGGTGGGTGGGGCACCAGGCCTGAGGAAGGGGCTACTCACTCGCCCCTCTTGCCCCTCCCAGCTCCCTTTGCTAGCTGCCAGCCCCAGTGAAGACTTCAGGGCCAAAGCCCAGCCCGCAGTTTCTGCAGGACAGGCTAGGCCCAGGACTCCTGGGAGCAGGGGAGGGGTACAGATTTGGGGAGCGCTTTGGATCATATGATCCTGGAATGAGCATGGGGTGGGGTGAGAGTGGGGACGAGAAACAAAATGTAGATGTGGAGGAGGACCATTTCTGCT